TCTCTCTCTCTCTCTCTCTCTCTCTCTCTCTCTCTCTCTCTCTCTCTCTCTCTCGCATGCGTGCACACTCTCTCTATACTTGAAAATCTAGACTCTGAATACATCGCTACTACCTGGCGCTATCTCCTACTACTAGCTATGCGGCTATGGCCGCCTTCCTTCCTCACACAGCGCTGCCCATCGGAGCTCTTGCGCATGCCACTCGCAGATAGCGCACAAGCGCTTCAGCAGCACTTCCACACTCCTCAGGAATGAGCAATCTCCCTCAAATGTGGCGGGCCAGTCCTTATGTTGACTTGGACTGAGCCTGGACTCGTCCCAGCCTTGGCTTCCTTTGGCTTGACTTGGATCTGGTACCACATGCCGACGGCCTGTTTGCTTCAGAATGTCAAGGCCTGGTACCTTCCCGAATTTCATTGGTGTGCTGCTTGGGACTGTGAGTCACGACTTTTCGTCTGTGGGACATGACTTTTGACTGTGGGATGTGACTCTTGCCCCTAGGACAAACACGGCTTTTGCCTCGAGAAGTGTTCTTTGCCTGTGGGATATGACCTTTCAATGTGAGGCGTGACTTTTGCTAACGAAATGCAACTTTTGCCTTCGGGATGTCAACGGGTACCTGTTGGACTTGGCCCCTGGGGTACCCGACTGTGACTTTTCTGAAACTGGCCGACTTGGCCCCTTTTGGCGTTTGACGTTGACTTTGACCCTGAGATAGGAATTTGGGGTCTGCATCTTGGCGTGCCTTTTAATTCAGAGGTTTAAAATTTAAATCAATGTGAGCTCTTCCATTTTTTTGTTCTGATCTATGGGCCCGATGTAGGAGACTGCTCTTATCAGCCCCTACATCATGCCCAACACGGATGTTTTTTCCTAAAAGATAGATAAAAAGATGAGGTGTTCTTCCTTTCTTCTCCCCCCTTTCGCTAGTCTGACATGTGGACATTTGTGGAATGATGCAGGCTTGCACTGCAATGGAGCAGAAAGAGTTGTTGGAGGAACTAGCAGCTTCCGTTGCTGCGACTCCTTTGTGAGAGAGAAGAGAGTCACTTTTGCCATTTGCAAAATGTTTCTCTGCCAGTTTTGGGACTTCCAGAAGCGTTGGGTTGGATTTCTAAGGGTGTCGTGGTGAATACGAAGAGAGAGAAGGTTGGCGGGGAAGGGAGGAGGAGGTGGGTAGGGGAGGGGATGCGGGCCGAGAGAGAGAGAGAGAGAGAGAGAGAGAGAGAGAGAGAGAGAGAGAGAGAGAGAGAGAGGGAGAGAGAGAGAGAGAGCATCAGATTCGTGCACGTTCAATGTCCACAAGTAGCCTTATAGCTCTGGTCAGTGGTTTCCAGCCGGGAAACTAAAGAATGTTCGATTGAAATGTTGGAGGTTAAAGAACTTAAAATGTTGACAGGTGATTTCTGTTTTCCAACTTTCAATTTTCCTAACACTTTGTTTTAAAATTCACCAGCTCAGACATGTGCAGATAGATGAAAGTAAATGGGATAAAATGGCTCTCCTGTTCGTTTTCCCCGTTTGCCGGAAAGTGGTAGTTGATTGGGTGGTTTTGGGTGCGAAAGTAGGTAGTTTATCAGGTGATTTTATTTGATTGGGTGGTTTTGGGTGCGGAAGTAGGTAGTTGATCAGGTGGTTTTAGGTGTGGAAAGAGGTGTCTTATTGGGTGTGGTTTCAGGTGTGTCAAAGTGGTAATTGATAGTGTAGTTCTATGCGTGAGGACTGGTAGTTGATTGGGTGGTTGGAGGTGTTCGATGGGGGTGTATATTTGCTAGCTGTGGAGGGAGAGGGTTGCAGGGGCGGAAGGGAGCGCTGGTAGTTCTGAAAGGCGAGTAAATAAGTTATTTTTAAAACAAGTGTCTACCCATACAATTATACAAGCTTATTCTTTTTGCTTGAGGGAGGAGGGAGTTCTCCTTGCCTCCACTCAAGGTTTGACTTTGAGCCTCCAGTGTTTTTTTTTTTGTTTTGTTTTTTTTTTTTGCGAAAAAAGGCCCTTGTGTAAGTTCTCTATCCCGGCGGTGGTAAGAGAATCGTCAGTTTGGAGGGCTTATCTGTCGGGCTGCTCCATCTATTGGTGGGGAGCGGCACCTGCTGGAAACCGGGTCCAGCGTCCCATTGGTAAGAGATTGCTGCTTGTTGCTTCCTGGGGCTGTGGTCATTTCACTTCTCAGTCGGGGGCTGCGTTGTCCCATGGAGCTGCCAGTATCACCCATCCCATCTTGGAGCGCCCCTTATCTATTAGCTCAGCCTTATTCAGCAGCCCCCCTGTTCATTGTTACTACGTCTGTCCCTTTGAACCCTTTAAATCTCAAAACCCATGCATACCACAGTATTGATCCCTGAAGGGTTTCCTGGAGGTATGGAGGTTATGGGACCTGGAAATCACTGAAGGGTTTCCTATGCCAACCAGGTTCCGTCCTCCTCCACGGTTTCCATGTGATAGCGAGAGCGGTGTCCAGTCCAAAAAACAGTTTGTTCGGTTCCTGCCAAATCTGCATATAGGAGTCTCGAATGGCTTCCTTGGTGGGAGGGTATTTCTGCTTGAAGAATTCACACGTCATCCACTTCCAGGCTTCCTGGGTCCTGGTCCTGATCTGCTCTTCGACAGCTTGTTGCACTTGCTGCAGGCCAAATTGGTGGTCCTTTCTTTCAAATAAACATCTGGCTCTCCCGGCCAACATAAGAAGATGTAGCCTCGTGTACGAGGAAAGGTTAGTTGCGAACGGGGACCGTGTGCCAGCAGGTGGTGATTATCTCCCAGCAGCAAGAGGCCGAGGTCCCAGGGGATGTGATATCCAGTGAGGGAGTGGAAAGTTGTGTCCCACCACTGCCATAGTTGGGTGATTATGGGGCACGCCAGTGAACAGTGTTCGATGGTTGCCCTGGCCGGCATCTGGGATCCGCAATATGCACAGATGGGAGACAACCTCCCTTGTTGTTCCAGGTCAGTCCTAGACATGAACCAATCGGGAGTGGGGAGGCAGCGATGCAGGATCTGCCACTGCAAAGACCTATGATTCGTGGGCATGATCTTCGCGTATCTGAACCAGGCAAAGGATTCTGTGAGCTTAGGGTCCAGTGGCGAATCCCGTGCCCATCTGTTTGCTATGGTTTGGCCGATCGGCTGGTCCTGTCGTGATGTTTGGTATCCTCCTTTAACTGTGTAGTTCCATATATGCATCGGTTTGTAACCAGGTCATTCCCACTCAGCCGGGTCGCAGGGAAGCTTGGCTATGGGTGTGGCGGTTCCTATGCATAGTAGTCATTTTCTGAGTCTCCCACCACTCTCACCTGCATCAGTCCCCCTCACCCGCATGTGGTATCCAGGTTGTCATTTTTTGTCAGTTTTGAGAGTCTGGCCCCGGGTGGGGTTCGTAGGCTTCCAGTTCACAGGTCCCGTAGTTATTCTCCTTGACTTTAAAGATGACCAGGTGGACAGGTAAGTCTGAGTATCTGACCATCCAATCATCCTGTCGGACCGTCGGTCCCTCCCTCAAGGTGAGCCTCCAAGAGATAGGGAGAGCCATTTTAGCAGGCCAGCCTTTTCTTCAACGTTTTTGACATTTATGAGTTCATGTTGCAGCTGGCTGGGGATTGCTCACTCCCCTCACGCCGGGTCCCACAGGTCTCCGACCATGAAAACACCCTTCTTGGCCCAGGTGAGCCAGGGGGAGTTCGTTGTCAGGGTGAAGGGGTCGCCTGATTCCTATAGGATATGCGGGTTGCTGAAGAGGGGTTGCCTCCATATGTCGTGCCACCTGTTTGGAGGATCCTTTTGTTGGGGACCTCATTGTCACCAAAGCTTGAGCATTGAAGGCCAGAGCGGATCTGCCATTATGTCCAGCTTTGTGGCGTGTGCCAGGTTAGCAGGGTTAGCAGGGTGTGCTTGCTTTCGGGGCGACGGGATGGTTCAATGGTTATTTGTCAACCATTGGAACGGGTGAACCTCTTCGGGTACATCATTTTGTGGTGCAAGATTGACTATTTGCTGGGGGGCCAATGGCTCCCTGGGGATGTCGTTTCCTATGAGCAGCCAGACGAGGACTTTGAAAATGACTGCCTCAGTCTCTCTTTCAGGTCTAGGATTCCCAACCTCCCTTTGGATCTAGGCTCTGTGAGGACGTTCCACTTCACCCTGTTGACACAGCCTTGAGCCTTGGCGCTGTTTTTCCACAGATATGTCGTGAGGGTTTTTTTCAATTTGATGTTACTCAACGGCCACACTGCCAATTTGTACGAGATAGCCGTTGGGATGGCACTATTGATTGCTAAAGCACGTCCCACCAGTGATGTGCGCAGGTCCTCCCAATTGGCTAGCTAGTTCACGACCATGTTGACCAACATGTCCCCACGGTCCGCCAGGGGGCCCACAGCAGTCAGTCTCACCCCTAGTACCCTTATGGTATCTTCCTTGTGGGCCCATGCGACACTCGGCTTGGGTGGGGGTGGCTGTCCTTGAGGGTGGAGCCACCAGCCCTCAGTCTTGGAGCCCCAGTTGGCCTTCATGTCGGCCGTCAGCGAGAAAAGGTGAATAACTTGAGTGAGAGCTTGGAGGCTAGCCGGATCTGCACGTATTAGGACGATGAGGTCATCCGCAAAGAGTGATGTCACCGGTATGAGGTGGTGCGATATGTCCGGGATAGGCACCTTGCTGATGCGGAGGTGCGGACTGATCATCGATGCAAGGGCCTCCATGACAATAACAAACAACAATGGTGCAATGGGGTCTCGCTGGCGCACCGATCTTTGAAGGCGAATCGGTGCTGAGAGGAGGTCATTGAGTATTATGTTAGTTGTGGCCGATCTGTGCAGCAGGTGCACCCATTGATGAAAACCCGGACCTTTAAACATGACCTGCCCAGTGTGTAAAATTGGGACCTCATTAGGATAGAAGACCCCTAGTGTGGATGGCTTCCCGAAGAAATTATGGGTGACCTGCTAGAACCTTATGGGAAACAATTTGATGAGCTACTACTGAATGGGAAATGGGGGAGGTGGTGAGGCAAGGGGTGGTCACGCTCCTATACGAAAAACGAGATAAAATGAACACACAAAACTACGAACCCATTATGCTACTGACAGTGTATACAAAATGTTGTCGAAGGCCTTGGTAAACAGTATGTCCCTGGCATTAGAGCAAATTGTACACCCTTCTCAAACCGGATTCCTCAAGGGGCGCCGCATTCACAAGGATATCTTGCCAGTTAATGAGCTATTCAGGCTGTCCTGCCAAGTTCAACGCCACATTTGTCTTCCTAGACTTTGAAAAGGCTTACGACCATGTGGGCTGACACGTCTTAGATTAATGCTTAGCTAAAATGAATTTTGGGGAAGCCTTCAGATGCTGGGTAAGGATCCTGCACTCTAGTGCCACCACGAAAGTGCAAGTCAATGGAAGTTTGGCCCCGAAATTTTCCATACAACAATGAGTCCGTCAGGGGGACCCTACATTGCCTACAACTCCCTATTGCTTTGTGGTGGCAATGGAGGCGCTGGCAGCCAACCTGAGGGCAAACCGGGACATCCGCAGGATTCAGACATCCTCAATCCCCGAGGACGCAAGGCAAGTGTGCTCCTTGTTGCAGATGACGTCACATTGATGGTAGAGGCCTCATCTGAGAACATGGAGGAAATAGAAAAATTAATAAACCGCTTCTGCGCCCTGTCAAATATCTGTTAATTGGGGGAGTAAGACCTTAGGGTGGTGAATGCACCATGATGGTGGGAGGCCCCAGAAAGACCAGGGGTCACCTGGCTCCCACTGGAAAACCCTATTAGGGTTGTAGGGATTCAACTCTCAGCTGTCGGAAAACCTGATTGGAACGACAGATGGATAATGGACCGTGCACTCCTGAAATTAGCATCATGGGCAGACAAACACACCTCGCTTTTTGGCAGGGCCCTTATGATAAACAACATGGTCCTTGCATCCCTTTGGTATAAGTCAGCCGCCTGGCCCCTATTCCATCAGGTCTTGAAATCCTTAAAGCGGCAAGTGGCAGCCTTTTTGTGGCGTCACAATCACGAGACCTAACACGTGATCAGGAGGATCGCTTGGGATGCAGTCGTGCAACCAAAAACACAGGGTGGCCTGGGAATCTTGGACCCCACCACCCAAACAAATGCCCTGGCGCTTCAGTCGTTAAAGTGGTTGATCTATACACCTGATCGCCTGTGGGAACCCCTGGCACTGGAACAACTGGTGAGGATCGCGTCGGAAGCCCCCCCCTCTACACACCCCCTAACATGGTTGAATGACACCTTTTGGATGATTCCCAGGCCTTCCCCTCGCCCCAGCACGCATTCTGATTGTGCGGCAGCACGTGCTGATCTTCAAAAGGATAACTTATGGGGCGACATTGATGCAGGATTGGCGAAGGCTTCCTCTCCCGGACAGACCAGCCTCTATTCGGTAATCGTTCGATAACCGATTGACAAGGGAGGGTCCTCCCTACCTCGGGAGGGCCTTCGGAATCCTGGATTCGGAGAGGGGTCACCAAGGTGGGGCACCTATTCGATAGTCCATGAGAGGACTCGAATGGAACAGCAGCTCAGAGAGAAGCTACCACATTGCCATAAGATAGAGGGGAGATTGGAGAAAATTATTTTTCCTCTTCCCTTAGCATGGGTACTGGTTCTGCGGGGGGGGACGACTCTTTTGGAAGGGGATTGGGTGGTGCTAAAAAGGGATGAGGTCCGGCTAGGCAATATGATAATTGCTGGTTAGAGAGAGGTACTGCTGAACCTGTTCTAGAAAACCCGACAGACCGTCTTGGCCAGAGTCTCACCGGGCGAAGTGTTCTGGCTAGCGGAGAAATTGGTTTATAGAGTGGAGTTCTGCAGGAGGG